TCTCTCATCTTGCCCCCAGGACCCCCTGTTTGTGCTGGAGCACAGCCTGCCCATTGACACGCAGTACTACCTGGAGCAGCAGCTGGCGAAACCCCTGCTGAGGATCTTTGAGCCCATCCTGGGCGAGGGCCGGGCTGAGGCCGTGCTGCTGCGTAAGGGCCCAGCCGGGATGAGGGGGCCTGGGGGAGGGAGGGGAGCCCGGGCCAGGCTGGGGGGTGAAGGTTGGGGGGGCGAGGGCCGGGCCGAGGCCGTGCTGCTGCGTAAGGGGCCAGCCGGGATGAGGGGGCCTGGGAGAGGGAGGGGAGCCCAGGCCAGGCTGGGGGGTGAAGGTTGGGGGGCGAGGGCCGGGCCTAGGCTGTGCTGCTGCATAAGGGCTGGCAGGCAAGGCTGGGCCGGATGGTAGGGAGGACCGGAGGGCTGGGGGGGAGTGGGAGGGGAGCCCGGGCCAGGCCGAGGGGGTGGACGCTTGGGCCAAGGCCGGGATACTGCGTAAGGGCCCAGTCGGGATGAGGTGCCTGGGGGAGGGAGGGGAGCCTGGGCCAGGCCGAGGGGGTGGACGCTTGGGCCAAGGCCGGGATGCTGCGTAAGGGCCCAGCCGGGTTGAGGGGGCCTGGGGGAGGGAGGGGAGCCCGGGCCAGGCTGGGGGGTGAAGGTTGGGGGGCGAGGGCCGGGCCTAGGCTGTGCTGCTGCATGAGGGCTGGCAGGCAAGGCTGGGCCGGATGGTGGGGAGGACCGGAGGGCTGGGGGGTGTGGGAGGGGAGCCCGGGCCAGGCCAAGGGGGCGGATGCTTGGGTCAGGGCCGGGATACTGAATGGTGGGGGTAGGAGACGTTGAGGCAGGGGAGGCCTGGCCCCAGCCCTGCCGCCACCTCGGGCCTGGGCCGAGATCTGGGGGGTCACACTGGATCCTCTGCCCCCCACCAGGCGGTGAGCACACTCGCTGTAAGACGGTGCTGACGGCCAAGGTCGGGGGGCTTCTCGCCTTCGCCACACGCAGGAGCAGCTGCATTGGTTGTCGGGCTGTCCTCAGCCACCATGGTGAGGACGCCGGCCCCTGGGCCTCTGGGCTTCCCGCTCCCCAGGGGGCGGCCAGGGAGCCAGCAGGCTCACCTTCTTGTGTGTCCAGGCTGGGCGGGGTGCAGGGGCTGAGGGCAGGGAGTGGGGGGAGAGCAAGGCCCCCGCCCGGGATTTCCCCAGGGGAGTTTTTCCCACATACACACACTCCCTTGTTCTCTACCCTCTGGGGACTTTCAGAGGCTGGCCTGGATCGGGTGGTGTCCACCTCTGGGTCAGTGTCTGACAGCCCCACCTCTCTTTCTCTCCCCTGTGGTAACCCTGATTGGGCCCTGCCTCTCTAGGAGCTGTGTGCAAATTCTGCCTTCCCCGGGAGTCTGAGCTGTACCAGAAAGAGGTGAGGGGGTGGGAGGGACCACCAAGCAGGGACAGGGCAGGGACCGGCCCCCCAGGCCTTCGTGGGCCAAACGGCTGCCTTCTGTCCTCAGGTGGCGCACCTGGGCGCCCTTGAGGAGCGGTTCTCCCGCCTCTGGACGCAATGCCAGCGCTGCCAGGGCAGTCTGCATGAGGACGTGCTCTGTACCAGGTACGGGGGGCTGCC